TTCTGTTTGTAAAGGGTTGTGAATATCTGGGTACAATTTGAAATCACTGATAATAATGAAAGGCACCAGATTTCTGTAGGGTGATAAGGGGTGTTTATATGTGGATGTTGTACTCTGCTCTGTCCTTTTTACTTAAAAGTTTGAAGACAGATGGCTGTTATATCTGTTGTGTAGTTTGGGGGGGGGGGGGGCCGGATTTATGTGGAGAAACTACATTTGGGGAGGAGAAGACAATTTCCAGTGAAGCTTTGAATGTATGGTAACTATCTGGGATTAGAAATCACTCTGTTGTTTCAATACCGTCATAAAGAGAAAAAAAGGATTTCCTAGAGTGTTTTTTTTCCCCCCATTGTTTACTGCTCAGATGCATTCATTTTTTAAAATTAAAGTGTAGATGGAAAAGGTAACACTTTTGGTATGAGATTGCTGACACAGAACCTCGGCTGACCATTTCTCAAATTCTCTATTATGGTTTTCCCATCACCTCATGCTATCTGCTGCTCAGAGCACACTGGAAAGTTTCCATTTGAGAAATAGAAATAGAAAAGATCACTAATAAAATGATACAGTGGGCTCAGAGCTAGTGTACTGTAGCTGGCTTAATGCATCTCAGATAGGCTGTGGTCATCGACTGCATGAGGTCTCATAGCACATTTGCTCACCTAGGCTTCCGTGTGAGAGGGAGAAGACAGCAGCTCAGCTAATGCAGAACAATCCCTGGTATCTTCAGTGGCTGGCCAAGTCCTTAGTGTAGATTGGCTGTGAACTTTGCAGAGCGAATTGACCTTGAACGCATATGCAATGGCAAGACGGCATAACCAAGTAGTGTAAAATCCGATAGCTTTGCTCGCTGTGGTGTTGTTTAAAATTTTTACTTGGTTTGGATTTATTTATGGGGCTGCTACCTCTCCATTTTGCACTGAGACATCAAATGAATTCTCAGAAGGGCAGCCGAGGGTTTTAGCTTTTTATTGGCCTTTGAGGTTCAAGTATTTGCTATCCTCCTCCCAAAGTTCAACTGACCCTGGTGCCTGTGATAAAAACCCCACAGGAGAAAGGTTTTCAGGGTTGATGTAAAGAGTCCAGGGAGACGAGATGAATATTCAAGTATCATAGTAACTGTGAAGACCAACTGCAACGCTGGACCACTGTTGTTGGCTCACTTGCATCTTTTACTGATTTGAAAGGAAAAGGTGGGACTCTAATATATCTAATGGAGGACAGACTGGACTTCAGTTGTTTGAGGCATTTTTACCCACTTGCAGTCTAACTGACACTAGCTGTAACTTCCACTGTTGATTGAGCAATAGCAGTGATTTATTAATATTTATTTGCTGTAAGGAAAGAAAGGTTCCTAATACAAAAGGGAAAGTTGGTGACCCAGACTAACAGGGTAAATGTGACCCCGTAACATTCTACACCCCATGTGTGATCTGTACAGGCTGAGAGGAAGTGCTAAATGCTTTTTCAATTTTTTTAAAAAAATTCTCTCTTGTGCAGGAAATAGAGAAATATGTCTTTGCGTACCTTTTGGAATGCAGATTATGTCTCCCCTGACCCACGTTAATAAAAACGCTAGCATCTTGGGGGAGCGGGTGGATGAAAATTGCAGATCTTTTCAGTTTGCCTTTCCCAGCTGGTCCTTCCTCCCTCGCTGACTGTAGTGCAATGATGCGGTGCAGGCATTAACAAAGAATATTAAAGCATGCAAAAAAGATGATACTTGTTTTATCCTGGAATTTAGTTTTCTTTTCTTAATTACTTAAGAAGAAAACGTTAAATTTTTCTGTTTACATTTGATGTGTAGTACCATGGCCAGTGAACTCAAAACCATGTCAGAAATTTGGAGCATGATTTTCAGAATTAAAAATTCAGTTACCTCCAAGTCTGGGTCATGTGAACAAAAGCTGCAGGCGTTTAGTACCTCTGAATGTCAAATTTCTTTCCCTTTCCATGCAAACATTGATAGCTCAATGTATTTCATGTGACTGTACGTAAGCACATGCAGATGTGGTTGCCTGTATATTATGTGTATATATAGGTCTACCGTCTACCCAGAACTTTTACCCATTTGTGTGTACTACCTGATAATAATGAGGTTATGTTCTTCTGTCCAATTAAGCGATTATATATTGAAATTTTTCCCTACTTTTCTTCCCCTCCCCCTTTTTTTTTAATGTTTTGAGTCAGTGTGTTTATTTTTAGCCTGTCTTTCTTGATGTGGGCATAGTTATGAGGTGCTGAGGCCACTTTGTAGTTCTCATTCAACAAAATGAAAATTGAAAGCCATTGCTTGATTACATTTCTCAAATTGTTTGACATACCTTGTCGAGATGAAGGAGTGGCTTTAGTTTGTTTTATTGTTTCTGGCAGGTGGCAACAGTTCTTTAATTGATGTGTTTTGGCATGGCATCTAGGCTGCCTAATGCATGGCAGGCACGGAGGAGGATGGCACCGCGCTGGCAGCAGAGCGGCTCCAGCATCACAGCAGGCTGTCTGCACTCCGTGATGTTATGCTCTTGAGCAGCAAACGAGCCCTGGGAGCTCCCCTGTGAGCAGGGAGATTCCTAATCCTCTTCTCACTGCAAGCGAACCTGATTCATTCCAGATGTACACAGATTTGATGACTCAGAGAGCTGCTATCTTAAATTGGGATTTACAGCACAATCTTGTGTAACCTTTCAGAGGAAGACCTGAACTCTTCTGCCAGCCTAAAATCAGAGTTTAATTGGTGTGTGAGTTTTGTGTAGGAGCAATGACAGTGTGCTCTTAGAAAGTGGGTTTTCTTTCTCTGCTGAGGAAAATGTTGTTATAATCATCATTTTGGTATGATGCACTTTCAACAGACGAGTGATAGCTTTAGAAAGGAGTTACACAAACCAATGCTGTTTATTTTGACATTTTTTGTGGGTTTAGTTTTAAATAGGATTTCATTATGAGGTTTTTTGTTATTGTTCAGTAGGAAGGACAGTATTCTTGGTTGTCTTGACTTTATGTGAAATCTCAAAGTGCTGCTAGTACCAATTCAGAGATGATTCTGTAGCATGCATTATTTTTAGTATCAACCCAGCATAAGATAAATATCTTGTAATTTTCCTTTGCTTACTGAAGCAATGCTTCCAGATCTTGCAAATGGATTTGATAGCTGCTGATTAAGTTTTGAAGAGATTGCAAGAAGTGAGATTATAAAGTTCCTGAGAAATAATTCACTGTAATAAATGGTTGTTTTGTATCTTTGCTTCCACATATGCACTTTTGATTATTAGAAAATCCCAGCAGATTGTTCAGTATCCTCATAATTTGTCTGCTTTTCAACAGTAAACATTGAAGTTGGGGCCAAAAAGTTAAATGCTTCCAAGTATTCTCATATAGTTGTGCCATTAATTTGGTATATAAGGAGCAACAGCTCAGATTATTTGGACCTCTCAAACTGGTTTTGCAGTCAGTCCTGCACTGTGTATGCTTTTGCAAATGTTTATATGCACTCATTCATGACACATAGCTATTATTTTAATTCAATGATTCCCTTGGTGTTCCACTTAATAGAAGGTGACTCCAGCATAAACACCCGAGGAAAGATTTGTCACATTCAGGGGATGGTTATAATTTTTATACGTTGTTCCACTTGCACCTGTTTCTGAATTTTATTTGATCCTCTTTTATGGTTTTCCTAGTCATAGCATAACTCTAAGAAGATTTTTCATAAAGTTACTAGAATGTTAGAATGTTTGAATTATTAGGAAACAAAATGAAGTAGCCTGTGTATTTAAATGTGGGCATAATATCTTGCACTTGTTGCATTTCCCCTGGCCAGTCACTTCACAGCCTTCAACTGTTTTATTTTCAATAAAACCACATTAACAATAAGCCACATGAAATAGTTTCACATGAGGATCATGGGCTTTCCTTACAGTCACAGAAGGCAGTGTCAGAACCAGGACTCCAGAGCTGCTCATTCTCAGTACAGCCCCCCCACAATGCAATGGCCGTTCAACACATTCCTGAATTACCCACTGCTGAGCTTTTAAGCAGTTGAGTTGTGACACTTCCATAGCAGGAAGAAAGAAGGACCAGAGTGTGAAAGTTGCCCGGAGTTAAACCGATGTAATTGTTTCTGCCTACAGTGTTGATGACAGAACTGCCTACCTGGCCCTGGGCGCGGTGAGGAACATCTCACTTAATATTTCCATCGCTAACGTTGGGGATGACGCCTATGACACCAATGTTTTCTTCAATTTTTCTGGGGAACTCTTCTTCATCAAAATGTGGCAAAAGGTAAGAAAGGCCAATCTTGCTGTGAGCAAGTTTCTTAACTTTCAAACAATTTAATTGTAAGATGTAGGGACAGGGGGTGGCCTGGTCCACACTGCTGAGACATTTGGAAGTTATTTCTGGTTATGCTGGGCTTGAATTTCTTCCAAGCTCTCTGCTGAAGGTTTTTTGGGGGTGTTTTTTTTTGTTTTTTTGTGGGTTTGATCTGTGTAAATTACACCCATTGTGATTTTGTAGATGACACAGCACTGTTATTTGGGATGCACTAATGAAAAAGACCGTTTGGTTGAGGTATGAAGGTTTTAAGAGGTAGAGGGGGACTGGTTTGGAAACCAGTAGGGTACTGGCACTGAAAGACAAAGGCTGCCTCTAGTTTGAGTGGTGCCACACTATGCTTGGCAGTCATGGTCTTAGCCTGACCTGGGCTCCTAGGTTTTCTCCTTTTTGAAACAGAGATGAACAAGGCTGTTCTTTGCTCATGTCCTGGTTAAAGTTTGCATTGTGGCCAGGGCACATCACTGGATCCAGAAGCTCAAAAGTGCTTTTGATTTCACCTACATGGAATCAGGTGAATATTTTGATCTTTAGTCTCTACATTTAGATTGAAATACTTGTGTGTTTTCATTAGCATGAGTTCATTTAGAGATAATGTTGAAATACAAACACTGAATAGAGCTTTTTACAAAGTGGTTGCTGTGAAAGCTGAGTGTGCGTAATGTGAAAATAATTGTACAAAATGAGAGCTGTACAATCATAAGAACATTGTTACAGCTTTTCAAAGTCATTTGTCTCTGCTAGAGCTTCGCTTTGTAAGACATGAGAGCAATATTAAAAGCAGTAGAATAACTGTTGTGAAGTATGGGATTAATGTGGTCCATTGAAATAATGTCATTTTGCCATTATTTGTCATGTTTTATAAAGAAAGATTATGATAGATTTTGGTGATTATAAACCTCTTAAATTAACTCATTACATAATAAAGCAAAGTATGATAATTTTTCATGTTAATTCTCGTGGTGTTCAGTTTTGACTACTACATTTAATCCAGTTACAAACCTCAGAAAGCTGTCTTTGTATTTTAAGCTTTGTTTTCAAACAGTATGTGTTGCAAGCTTGCAGTTTATCAGGAGGAGAAGAGCAGGGGATTAAGTAGAAATGGCTTACACCAATACGCAACTTCTCCTTAATGCAAGTTTTATGTGAAGACTTTCAGGGTCTGACCCAGCTCCCATTGAAGTCAGTGGGAGGGTTTCCATTCCTTTGCACTGGAAAAGAAACAAAGCTTGGTGTATGTTCTTTTAAAAGGTTGTTGTGGGGTTCTTTTTTTGTTCTGTGCTTACATGTTGAATATTTTACACACAGGGATTTACTGGAACACCAATTGCCTTCGTTGTTCTTGGCCAACATTTTGAGGGAACAAGCTGAAGATTATGTGCTGTTTCCCTTGGTATTTTACCTTGAGCCTGTGTCTATAGCAGACTTGAAACATCTGTGCTGAATGCTGCCTAGAAGAAGCAGTTTCTGGAAGCAGATTACATTGTTGTAGGGTTATCTCACTACTCTGTGTCTTCTGCTAATAGAATCTAGCACTTCTTTAAAAAAAAAAAAAAGCAGAAATCAAGGAAGCATGTAAGCTTCCTTCTTCCTCAGGTCTTGCAAACAGGGTCAGACTA